CAACAGTTCCGTCATTGGCTTTCCCATGTACTCCACAAGGTATTCACTTAAGGATTCATTCACCGTCATTCCATTGTGGTTACTCTTCCATTGGCTTTTCATTTCGTCCGTGATTTTACTATAATAATCATCATTAAGAGCTTGGCTGACGTATTTCTCATACAACACACCTGGAAATTAAAAAAAAAAAGAATTCATTTAAAAATGGTACGAATTTTACAGGTGAAACATCCGAAAATTCATCTTTTTCGTTTTAATTCGCTCCTCAATTGGTCGACAAAACTCGCGCGTTTCTCTCTACCAATCGGAGAGAACGCCGAGACCAATCGCTTCTTCATGGTTAGCTTCGGTTTTTTGCCCTTCAAGTAGGATGACTGTTTTTGCTTCGAGGTCTTTTTGGATCCTTACGACAGTCCCTTGTTCTCACAAATCCTTAGTCCTGGTCTCAGACTCTCAGTGGAATTTCAACGGATATATATAATGATCCATTTCACTATTTCAAGAGGTTGCTCAATAATGCTTAATCATGCAATGTTAATTAAGTTATGCTCAGCCAGCGATCATTCTTCATCGCCTGGTGAGGTTTAAGGATTTTGGTTATGTCGCGATCAAAAATTTACCTGACCACCCAAAGATTAGATTTGAGCTCACCTTCTAGTATGACAAAAGCATATTAGTGGGATACCTGTGGAAGCCCAGTCATAAAATGCCTTTGTTTTTTTGTCGTCTTTTTTTTTTCCTCCGCCACAAAATGGAAAAATTGCGCAATAGTACCCAGTGGTCATTGGGTCCTCAACACCATGACAACTAACTGTGATCCAATGAGGTGTTCACATGCTGATCACGCGTGTCATCTTGATGATGATTGACGTTGTCATGCACAGACAGGGCCAGGTCACATGACGAATCACGAGATTTTTGCTTATAAAACTCTTTGGTCGGTTGTTTTGCATTTCAACGTATTTGGATTGCGATCTCCTGGAGCATTATGGCGCAACGCGCAAAATAGTTACAGACGCATATACAAGTCGTATTAATCGCGGCTAATCCACCCTGAAAGATGTTATTAAGCGGTAATTTTGGAACGGATTGAGTCGCGAACGCTTGAAAGCCATGAAAGCCTTGAATGCCTTGTATGCTAAGTATGCCAATGTCTTAGTTGAAAAACGTTCACTTGTTGAAAAAAGCAAAATCTGAAATCTGAAACCAAACTGCATATACTCTATGCAATCTATTGAACAACACTACTACCGTGAGACTAAAGAACATATCTATAATGGATGCAAACTGCTTGGGAAGAAAGACGACATGTTGGATTCACTTGATGGCAAGGAACGTAGCTAAGATAACAGTACGAATGGTATTAATTTCACGATCAGAAAGGTGAATCTTATGTTTGTTTTCAATGTAGTTGTATGGATATTCTTTTTAATAAATACGTGATCCAAAACCCTGTGTTTTTTTGTGTATAATGTTGTTATGTTAAATATTGTTTACGCATTTGTCTTGTCACAGGCGGCCCAAGCTCACGTCTCGAGAAAAAGCCAACGATTAATTCATGAACGCGTCACGCGTTGTGTGACTCGGTCTTAAGTTACGAGAGGAACTGTTGGAAATTTGAACACGTCATAAGGAATAGTATAGGGAACGAAGTATGGTCGATTTAAAACGATAAATATTTCGAAATATGAACATTTTTCTCGTAAAATCAATAAAACTTACTCATACCCTGTGTATCCGTTTTATTTTTTGGCGATTTCTGCCGTTTTAAGCTTGCTTTACCATCACTGTTATTCACGTCATCTACTTTTATTACGTTGGTAAAATCTGCATAAAGAATCTTTATTGTTTGAGAACTCATAATTTAAGCTAATCAACGCGAAGGACTAATATTTGGTCCGGTTATATCGGTTAGCAAAAAAAACCAGATCGATGTTTTCACCCAAAAGTATGAAAGCTTTTAAGATTTTAAACCTCTCTTTGAATGCATAAGGCATCACCTTTGTAATTGCTTAGGGTTAGGTTTAAGCAACCCAAGCAGTGGGATTATTTACACAACAATAAAGGTGCGAGAACAAGAAAACTTGATCGTCAGGTTTTTCCTAAAGGTTTTCCGTTTTAAAAAAATTACTTCAGTTTAGTCCATCAACGGAATCTTCGCGAAAAGTTCTGTTTCTGTCACATCTAAGCCGGCTACTCAAAAGTAATTTTGTTTTCTTAAGACTTGACGTTTTAATAATTTAAAAACACAAGACGTTCTTTAAAACGCGTTATACGACGTCAATAATTTTTTTGTTTAGATAGTATCAGTTAAGAAACAAAGAGATAACCACTGCAACCGAGTTATGTTTCACCTTGTTGACTGATTACTTGATTGCAAATCATGTGGCTTGCTATAGTTTTAACTCCGTTGGAAAAGGAGGAAACCTGAACTCATTTATACATGCATCATACAAGATTATGTTCTATTCTACCTTGGAATGAGGCGCGTGTTGTTATCCTACTTTTGGGGTAGGATTACACTAACGTACTTTCTGGCTAGTTAGTTAATCCCCTAGCTAATTATCATGGCCATTTCAGCAAGAAACATTAACAAACTGCTGCCGTTTTACGTAAACAATACTCTTGATCGGCGGAAACAGGTATCAAATTGAATTTCTCCTTGCTATAGCGGTGGAAAGAAATCTAAGTTCAGAGTTTCACTTGGTCTGTTAAGTCACTTTGACAGAAAGGCGATCTTTGAAAAACTGGCCATGAAAAGAAACAGAAAGTACAAGCAATAAAATCAAGGCGCCTGAAGATAATTTAAGTTTGTAAGAAAGAAAATTCCTATACCCCATCACAAATCAAAATATAAAAACAAACCTGTTTCGTTTTTCAAGGCGATCTTCAGGAATTTATTTCTGAGTGCATTCCTTCCCGCTTCACAAGCATCTTGACTATAAACCATGCCGTGCAACTTTCCCATTTTCAGATTTTCTATGTATCTCAAAATTCCTTCCTTGTGAGTTTTTAGCTTCTCTTCTATAAGTTCTATATCCTGCAAGTTTTCTGGTTTTAGACTTCTGAACAATCCTTGCAAATGCGCACCCAAGTTACAGATGACTTGTTGCCTCGGATGGCAGTAGAATGTTGGACCCATCATCCAATCTCCGGCGTAGAAATTCATGTCAAAAGGCTGACCGAATACAGTCTTTAAATAATGTTTTAGCTGTGATAGTGCTTTCCTTTCGCGTGGCTTGAGCTTTTTAGAGTCCACTTTTATTTCCTTGACCTCATTGTAGAGACTCCGCGCTGCATCAGTAACACTTTTTATGTAATCCGGCGTTGGATTGTATGCTGTGTACTTCTTCTTGATTTCCTCTCGAGAGGCATCGGGGTCTTGTGGCAGCATGAAAGGATGTTTCTCATAATATTTCTTCTTTGCGCGCATAATGATCTCCTCTAGACGGATCCGTTTGGCTTCTTCAGAGTAGTCACAGTAGGATGATGCTGCGGACGACGTCGATGTGGACGAAGCCTTACTGTCAGTCTCCCCTTTCTTTTCAGTTGCAAGAACTATTAAGACGATTCCTACGATCAATACGATAGCAGCGATTGCAGCGAATAGGATAAGGAATATTCTACCCTTTGACTTACCCCCTTCGAATGCAATATCGGCGACCATGATTTCTATTTACCTTGACCTCCTTGGTAGCTGAAAAGAGTACAACATCTATCCAGTTGCGGGCCAGGGCAGAGCAATGTTTACCCTTCAGCTGTGTAACCGCAAAAAAAATATTTACATAATTTACATTTTTGGCTGTCGCTTTAGTGTGCTACTTGGCTCGCTTCTACTTAATTTATCAGTTCTAGATGTTTCGATTATATTTCATGCTCCAACAATTTGATAACTTCCCAAGTATAAATTTCTACGGAGGGAAGTCAAGAAAATTTGAGAGGTGCTCGACCTCAAGGCAAAGTCAATCCATTAACTTCTCTTCAACAGTTATGAATATTTGCTTATCTTGATTGACGTGACACCAAGGTATTTTATATAAACTGATAGGCTATCTTTCGTATCACGGTTTATTTATTTTTCTGTAGAAATAAAGAACATCGGTTACAGAAATCATTTTAAGAGTAGGCAGCTTTTGAGAGGCATTTACGAAGAACTGTTGCGTGAGGGTTTTTTCCGCTTTGTAACTGAGCTGTGATCAAAATGTTTTTGTTTCAATTGCTGTGCCCAGCTTATTTCAATAATCTGGCAGAGATGCAAAACGAAAAACTGTGCCAACTGACTGTTCAGGAGGATCAAAAGTTAAAAATCAGTCAATCAGTTTATGGCTCAAAATCATTTCAAAAAATCTTAGGATTCAATTGCACATTACAAATAATGCGGAAAGGGTCTCAGTATTTTTTCCCGGTGGAGTCCTGATTTTTTAGTATCTTTTGACTCGTCCATGCTTTTCTTTGGTGGATTAAGGATGAAGTCACAGCCTTCCTTTCCTTTATCCTTGACGCACGCCACATACTTTTTCACGTGATCAGATAAATAAGCTAGCGGAGATGACCCCTGGGACAACACCTGAAAAAGATACCATAAGGATAAGGATGTCAGTCCTTTTGAAAGCACACCCAGGTTATTTGCGCGGTTAGTAACCCACCCGATAAGCCACCATCTCCTCGTTCCGTTCTTGTCCCTTAAGTATCCCTCCGCCTTGCATGCCTAAAATGCAGTTCAGCAAGTGAAGTACCACTCGATCTTGCAGTGAAACGTCTTGGGTAAGAGGCCACACTTTGCAGTGTGCAGCATTATCTCCTTCTTTAATGCAAGCCGAATATTTTATTTGCTTAGGGTTAGGGTTATTTGAGTTGTGGGAGAGAGGAAGAAGGCAGAGAAATTACCTGATAATGAAATTCAGGCAACCTGAAATTATCTCCCAGCGCATCTTTGCAATAGTTCCTAAGTCGTGCAATCTCCAACTGACCGATCATGTAAGCGGTCGCCTGTCCTGGGTCGCTTTGGTAACGAGTCACCTAATAAGCCAGGTCATATAAGGGTCAATAAGATAAAAAAGAGAATAACTGTTTTCAAGTGAGATAGATTTAGAAGGATAGGAGTGTTGGCGGCCAGTGGCGAGTAGGAGGAGGGACTTTTTACATGTGATGTTCATCTTAATTGATGCACCCCAGCCGCTCTTGCTCTATGCTTTTACTCTTTGGAAGACTATTTGGTCTTTGGGCAAGCGCGCTAACTTTGGACTTAAATGTCCTGGTTTCAACTTCGAAGCCAAAACAAGAATTTTAGTGTAAATCCAAGGCAGGGTCAGTTTACAAACTAAGCGTGTCCAACAATGTTGTTAGACAAGACAGTCACAATCAGGGAACACGTAACGGTAGCTAAAAGCCCCGACCTCTTTAGAATTTGAATTCAAAGTTTGATTAAATGAATTCAAAATATGAATAAATTTAAACGAAGCACTAAAATAATAATTAGCTAACTAAATACTTCACAACAGTAGGAAGAAAATTAATGTACCTCTTTCTTTGCAAGGTCTGTATCGTCCCATGCATATTTATTGAAATATTCCAGGGCATCATCGCGAGACAATCCAACGTAATGTAAACCAGTGTCCACAATCAGCCGAAGAGCTCTCCACACCTTAAAGAATCGAGAAATGCAGTGAAATTGGGCAGAACAGAAGCCACATAAATAATGGTTATTGAACCGACTGGAGTGCAATTTGGTCTGAGATCATGCGCGTGAATAGGATGCGGTTTAGAGCAAAAAATGTGCGATGCGTGAATAAATCGCACTGCCGAGAGCCAATAATATTTCAAGGATCACTAATGATTTCAAAATGGATGTTATAAAAAAAGCTATATCATGATGGACCACAGCAACTGAAATCCTAGTGAGGTTGAATGGGACAGAAATATAGAGTGGCTGAAGTCGAAGCATAAAGTGTGAACTCCTCCTTCGCTTCTATACGTTTCTAATTGATCAGAAGGCTATACTTTCTTACCTGCCACTTAAGCATTCCATACTTCTGGAGGGGTTCGTTCTCGTACGTGTCCGTATCTTGAGCGATTAACGGATTCTCAGCGTACAACGCCCATCCCTCTGAAAACGCCGTGTAGTAGGTGATGCTATCCAGCCAGCTTATAACACCGCCACAACTGTCTTGGAAATGTTCTATGTGACCCTGAACCTTTGGAGAGAGAGATTATGGACGTTACTCCCATTACATCATACCAGGTGTTTACCATTCGAATTGAAAATTTGGCCATGAAACAATAGGATTCCCGTCATACTATTTGAGACGTTTCAGAAATTCACTTTGCTTTCTCTTCGATTTTTCAGTATGTTTTTTTTTGTGAGCTTTAAATCTTTGTCTACTGAAATGTTAAGTTCTACCTTTAAAAAATTGCAGTTAAATTCCTGCGTATATTGTCTTAAGAACCCTATGTGTACCCAGTCAGTGAACAAACTGTTCGATTTCAAATATACAAAGGTAACCGTTTTTCAATTAGTCAAAGAAACAGATGAATACATCAGCTTGTTCAATGATTTTCTTTTGGTTGAGATGAATGCGATGTGAATAAGAACAGTTCCATCCTATATACGGAGGTGTCGAAGGGAGAGTCAAAGATTAACACAAACACAGTCAGACTAAAGTTGCAATTCTACGGAGCTTGCATTGACCTGTGTGTGGTGACCAGGCCTCGCCTCGTGTGCATTGACGCTCCATTCATGGTACCGTGGACCAAAGTTTTCCAGGAAAAACGGAATCCTATACTTTGCGCTTCTTTCGCAATCTGGAGTACTAGAGTAATAACTTTGAGTTCCACTGGATGGGTTCAAATCCGGAATTAAATCAACTGGACAAGTGGGTGTGGTCGCTTTGTCACCGTTGAAGTAGAACAGTGGAATGGTCTTGGGCTCTATGAAGCTCATCACCTTAATATGGTAGGAAATATAAACACGTTTTTTTTTTTATTGACTGATTGAACTGACTACCTGCACTGACTTCTTCAGTGACTGACTTACTAGGTTACTACCCGAATGACTGACTGACTGACTCACTAACTCACTGATTGAGTGAGTTGCTGACTGACTCATTAAACAACTTACAGACTTGCCTGCACAGACTCATTAAGTGACTGACCCCCGGGGTTACTGCCTGACCGATTGACTTAGTGATCGATTCACTGGCTGACGGACAGACTGACTTATAGACTGATTGACGTAATGACTTGAAGACTTACTAACTTACCGACTGACTAGCTTACTGACTGAAGGAACGACTGAATGTTTGACTTATAATCAAACTGGCTAAACGACAGACCCCACTGATTACTTGATACACACGTTAACCGTCTGAGAGACTGACTGACTTAATTACTGTCGTGCTACATGACTGATGACGTGCTATTAAAATACACTGCCGTGTTTTTGCGTGACACGCAAACTACAGACTAGTTAAGAAGAAGGAACTTCGACAAATTTTCTATCAATCGCCTGTTGCCGAATGATTTATTTCTACCTGTTTTTATGCTGATAGTTTCGGAAAGAAACTTACCTTTCTTGCTTCAGCAAACCACAGCTGAAGGGCAGCCCAACGTTTAGGGCAATATTTCTTAGCTCCTTCAATATCGCTGCATTTTCTGTATGCTTCTTTATCAGACTCGTTTTTCGGGAATTGTTCTGAGTTAAAATAAAACTCAGAAGAGTTCAGTCTTTCTCTGAACTTCGTCACAGCGGTTTGGTTGTCCTTCTCTCCAGTGACTTCCTTTGCAACGTCAACGACCTATAAATTTCGATTTTGATAATCGTTGAAAGAAAAAAATTGAAAAGAATGGTAAGTGACTGAGAGAATTAAGGAACGAAATAACGAACGAATTGATAAATAAATGAACGGACGAACACATCCTTTACGTTTTAAAATCGACTTTTTTGTAACAATATTGTCTTCCAAAAACAGAGAATTGAACACTCGTTCGGAATACTAAGTGCTTGCCCCTCCATTCACTCTACGTGTTAGTATAAAATGGCAAATTGTACTAGGGTTATCTTGTGATAATAGCGGAAAGAGAGAATGAGCTAAGCGTACAAACAACTAACCATGGGATAGAGAATATCGAGCTGCTTTTTACCAAGCTCATGAACTTCCATTGGCGTTATTTTGTTTGTTGTGAAATACGACATGATTTTAGAATAGGCCAGCGATCCATTCAGCGGTTCACCAGTGGGTAGGTTTGGTTCTGTTGGCCAGGACTTGTTTTCTTTACCATCGATCCACACATATTTCAGGGGTAGGGAAGCTAAACCGCTGGATACATTGCTTGGAACGCAATGACGAAAGTGTTCCTTCTCAATGTATCTGAGACATAGAAAAATTATTTTAGGTGTGTCAAATTTTCTGAGTGCACTGATCATTACATGACTACTACAGCTATTGTAGTGATTATAGACAGTTTCCAGCTGAGTATCTGAGGAAATGCGGGAGAGTAATGTTTTGCTTTGCCGCGTTCCCTGATCGGTCCAGAAAACTATCTCATTCATCCAATCAAATGCAAATCAAAAAATTTACTCTGTTTTACTTTAGGTACTCATTGGCACTTTGTGATCACCCGATGCTAGGTTTTATGAAAATCAGTTGAGCACTCTATCGTACACAATGCTTGTACTACATTATACCAAAGTGCATAACGAGTAAGGCCT